ATGAAATCACATTAACTTAGAAAATTAGTTACTGAAAATGAAATCAAGTATCGCACGGGAACCCACATTTTTATGTCAAATGACATCAAATGAAATCAAGTAAATGTTATTGGTTTATCGCACGGGATTCCACATTTTTATTGAAATCAAATGATGATTCTTTGCAAGTAATGCCATGATTGGTATATAGGTATGGAGCATGAATGGAATGATCATTCCTTAATTGATTCATATTCCTATACTTGGTATGTTTTGTTGTTAAAGAATGGTCATTACCTTGGAAACACCATTCCCATAATTATGGATTTATTTATTCCTCTCATAACCCATGGGTTTATTCATTCCAAATCTATTGAGAATGAATTTATTACTTCCTTATAATAAAATTACCCAAAATTAAAGAACCCTTCATCTTCTTTTTATGTTCTTCTATTCATCTTCTCAAACACAAAATTGACGAAAAAATGCCCCATCACCACCGACTTTCATCACTACTCAGGTACAAATTTTGAAATTTAGACCTCGACATCATTATCCCGAATTCTTTTTTTTTTTTTCTTTTTCGAGTTTAGTAAATCAAATATTAGTGTAAGTAGGCCTTGCCAATTGATTTTTTGATTGTGTATTTTTTTTTTTCTATTTTCTTGTTTAATTTTGTGAATAGACTTCGACATCATTATACCTAGTTAGCTACACAATTTATAATTTTGAAAGCATATCTCTTTTTAGTTTTTTCATGTTCTCAGGGAAGATGAAAACAAAACAATAAATTCTGTAGCATAAAACTAAATGGAAAATTAAAGATGAATAAACAAAACAACTTAAGCGATTGCTTTGGTTCATATAATTTGCCAAAACCTATGTAATGTGCTTCAGTGATTGTGTATATGGGCCCTTGGCATGTTGACAATTGTGTTCCATTGATTAATATGATATGTTGCTTTTCTTTTTAATTGTAATTGCAATTGTAGTTTGATGTGGATAAGTATTTTTTTAATTATAATTGCAGGTATGACAAGACTAGGATTAACAAGAAAATTGAAAAGGAGAAATAAATGTGTAGCAAGTTTGTTATTTTGGACGACCATAATGCAACTAATAAACTATTTTTGGCTAATAGTTCTTGATCGGCTGAAATATTATTACAAGCATGTTATTTTGAAACCCGTTTATCATTATGATTTTTATGAAAAAAGATAATACATTCAAAAAATAATATATATACAAGTGATATTGTGTGCAAGAATGTAACAAGAATGAATAGACAAACTTTTCATCGTTTATGTTCCAGACTTGAAGCAACTAGAATGGTATTTTCAACAAAAAAATATGTTAGTCGATAAACAAGTTGCTATCACATTACATATTTTGGCACATCACCAAAAACAAAGGGTTATAAATGCAAACTTTGGGCGTTCTGGGGAGACAATAAGTCGGCACTTTCGACAAATGATAAATGCTATTATAAGAATTCAAGATCAATTACTTAAGAAACCTGAGGCCGTTCCAGATGATTCTACTGATGAAAAATGGAAATGGTTGAAGGTATGTTATTAAATCTACAAATAGAAATATAATAATGTAAATCATCGTGTTTATTATAGCTTTATTACAATAGGGGTGTTTAGGTGCTCTAGATGACACTCGTATCAAGGTTCGAGTGCCTGCACAAGACAAGCCTAGATAACGCACGCCTAAAAATGAAATTGCTACAAATGTATTCAGGGTATGCTCCCAAGATATGCAATTCATCTACGTGTTACCTGGGTGGGAAGGTTCAGCAGCCGATGGTAGAGTGTTACGAGATGCAATAACTCGGAGAAATGGCTTGGTGGTTCCTCGTGGTAAGATGCATAAATCCAGTTCAATTAAATTAGAAAAATACTCTTTAAAAAACAAAAGACAAAAATAAATAATTTATACTAATGATTAATATAAATTCAAGGTACGTATTATCTTGTGGATGCTGGGTATACAAATAGTGAAGGATTTCTTACACCATTTCGAGGTCAAAGACATCATTTGAATGATTGGAGATAAAGACACATGCCTACCACCGCTGAAGAATTTTTTAATATGAAGCATTCTTCTGCTACAAACACAATAGAAAGAGTTTTTGGCTTGATAATGACTCGATGGGGAATCTTGAGAAGTTCATCATACTATCCTATAAAAATACAAAATCGCATCATCATGGCTTGCTGCTTACTTCATAATTTCATTATGCAAGAAATGACTACTTACGACGATGAGGAAGATACAGAAAATCAACAAGAGAATAATGACATACATGAGGATGAAGATCTTGTTACTACTGTTGAACCTTCTACTCAGTGGACTAGTTTTAGAAGAAACCTTGTCGTTAGTATGTTTAACACATGGATAGCGCATAGAAACTCTACATAATTTATTTTTTTTCATATTGATAGTAGAAACAATATTGTTATTATGTTCACCGTGTGTGCTATATTTTTTGGCGATCACCTCTTTTGTGTCAAATTTGTGGATTCTTCATTTGTCAATTCATGTGATGGATTATCTGTTAAGTCATGCCATGGATATTTTTCTATTATAATCTTTATTGTCAATTTGTATTTTCCTTATAAAGCATGGATCATCAATCTCAAGAAACAAGAGGTCGTGGTAAACGTTGAGCCCTTTCGACCTGAGGAAAATAATTCGGGGAACAAAAGAAAATGGAATAATGAGGAAGATGCTAAGCTCGTGGAGGCACTCCTTGAGATGGTAAATCTCGGAACCTATAAGGCTGAAAATGGGTTCAAACCTGGCTACTTGAACTATGTCGAGGACAAGTTGCGAGTCTCATTGCCTAGCTCTGGATTCAAGGCTAAACCACATATTGAGTCAAGAATTAAGACATTGAAGAAAGACTTCAATATTGTGTATGATATGTTAAATGGTCCAAATACAAGTGGATTTGGTATGGATCCGATTAGAAAATGCATCGTAGCTGAAAAGTCGGTATGGGGCCCCTACATTGAGGTATTTACATAACTACTTTTTATAGGTTTGTTTCCTGTGTTTGGTTTACTAGTTTTTTTTTTTTTTTTTTTTTTTTTTTTTTTTTACTATAGAAATTTATTGTTAAAAATATCAAAATTTTTTAGATCATTGGTGGGACCATTTATAACTAAGCTGTACAAGAAAATTTAAAGAAAACCTCTTTGATTTTCACTAGATTCATTTTAGTTTTTGCTGGTAGGTTGTCTATAATTCATTAGTATTAAACTAATTAAAGCAGTATAAATTGTATATGCCTCCCTAGTCTCTGCTTTTTCCAGTTAGTTTGCCTGCCATCATCAAATCAAAGATTTAAAATAAATAACTTAGCTCATTGAATTAGTTAATAATTGATAACTTTTTTAATTGAGCTTTATGTTAGTTGAACAAAAAAATATGGTTTATTATTGAGGTTGATATCATCTTGCATGAATTGTGGCCATGTTGGTTTTTTGTCAATTAAGTTGCTGATTGTGAAATGAGAGTAAAAAAAAAAAATGACAATGTGATTAACTACATATCTTTTTAATTTTCTCAATTAGTTCTTATTTTTTCTTGTGACACAGAGTCATCCTACCCACGCAATCTGGCAAAATAAGGCTTTCCCCTTATATGATGACTTGCTCATTATTTTTGGAAAAGATCGTGCTATTGGAGGAAATGCCGAAGTTCCTAATGATATGATGGAAGATATACAAAAGGAAGATGTCAATCTTAATGCTGATAATGACGTCGAAGCACCATCCGAAATTGGTCTT